TGCAAGCTTTTAAGATCCCGATTGCTACTCATCAAAGTAAGATGTGGAACAATGTTTTTGTGTAGAATGTTATGCCAATTGAGCTTGATGTCTCTTGCAACCATGGTCCTCAGCCCACAGGTCCAACTACTTGCTCCCTCTGGGTAGCTGGCTGTGGGCAAGAAGTAACTACAACTTGTCCCTTGTCAGCTCTACTATATACCTGGAAATTCTTACAGAACATGCAAGTATACTTGTAGAAACATTGTCTGCCAACCCTATACATGGTCATGGGCACACCCGCCCTACACATACCTAATTTTTCACCCTGTCCACCTATCTATCCACCTGCAGATCAATGTTTGCCATCACTGACAATGCAGTACTGTATGTGCAAAAGGGTTCATCTTTCTTGTCTGTACTTCCCATGCACCTCTCTGTGTCTTCCTCTTCCACAGTGCCACTGTGTTGATCACTCACATTTGGTACATTGCCCTTCCTTTCACCCAAATCAGAACTTGATGAGTGACATCTTTATGCACTCACCACTGTCACAGTACAAAGCTTTCTGATTTGTGTGTAAATTGTTTAATGTGCACTCATGGCAGCCAGTCGCGTAGGTTTGGATTCTTTGTATCAGTGTACTATAAGCAGATTTGAAGTTAGTTATCACTGCATTATTTTGCAATAAATTAATCTTTATATGCAATGTCATTGAAAAGTTTCATACAGAAAGATTGAAAAGTGAGCCACTTCCGTGAATTTCACAGACTGAGGTGGCTTTTGCTGCTCTGTTCTGTGAGTGTCTCTGCAGGATGCATGGGCATCTGAAACACAGATGTTGCTATTTTATAAAAAGAGGAAGATTTTTCCCTTTGTAAGTGACTATCTCATGAGCAAGAGCACCTTCATGCTGGAACTGTGTGTTTTCCAGTATTCATCTGTTTTGGGAAATGAACAAGTTAATCTTCTCTTGAACTGTTTTTTCATCAATTCTTCATCTTATTTAGTAAGCTTTTGCTTTTACACAATTTAACTTGAAAGTGTAACGTAGTATTTAATTGTGAACCTACATACAAAGAAACATGTACATATGTGTCTATATGCACATATACACCAATACCCACAATATCAGTCCATCCCCACATGCCTCCCTCATTCCTGACAACCATAACCATTACACAGTAACTTGCCACCTTCATTAGAATCTACAGTTATGTTGCATTGGCTGTATTTGGTCATCAACAATGAGGTTCAATTGCGTCAGTCAATTTGATTTTACTAACCAAACTGCTGGGATTTAAGTTTCCAATTAAGTTGAAGTTTCTTTCTGGGGTACCATGTTGCAAATACTCTTTCACTTCTGTTCCTCATTGTGCTTTTGGAATGCCTCCTTTTGGGGGAAATAATTTCGGAGTCATTCAAATGCTACTTAGGAAAACCAGTAAATTGTACGTAGCAGCATTATTCAGTGAAAACAATACAAGCCACATTGGTAAACTTCAGTATTCTAGTACTTATCTTTTAGAAACCAAGAAGAAACAGGTAAAATTAATGTACTATCCCAAAATATCCCAAATGTTACCATTTCAACATGTAACATAAAAAACTATGAATGAGACATTTGGCATTAATGTGTACTATGTCTTCAAATTCCAGTGGTATTTTCCATTTGTAGCCTTTTCAGTTTGTAGCCACATTTCAAGTGCTCATTAGCCTAATGTGGCCACCACACTGGATGGTGCAGCTCAGTGGCCCTTGTCCTTTGATGAGTTTGTCCTTCATCCATCCCATCTAGCCAGCTTTTCCTGTGTTTCCTGTCTAGCTTATTGTCCTGAAGGGTACCAACAGATGTGCTAGAGAGATTAGAATTTAAATGGCAAGCCAAGCTCCTACCCATGTGGAGAGTATATAATGCTGGTTGTACGTATTTCGGGATCTCCAGGAATATTATTCTTACAGAATGTTACCTTTGGAAAGGATATTAAGGCTCCTGCATTCCCGTGCAGTTCAGTAAAAATGGAACCCAACTGCCTATCAGTGGACTCATGCCTTTGAAACTGCCAGAGCAGGATCATCAACAAAAACCTCAATGGCGCAGGCTCCAGCTTTCCCACTCAACCCCTCCTAACCCTCTGTGATGTTACAAATGAGAATGCAGCAGGGAGTTGGGGCCCTCAGAGATGCTCACAGTATCACTTCTACCCTAAACCAGAGAAGCAGATGGGACTCCCTTCCCTGCTGGCGCCCAACCACTGGAGAGACCATAAAGGACTTACACCCACGATGTGAGGATAACCCAGGGCAAATGCGTCCCTGACTGGAGGCCTGGCCGACTTGGGGAAGTTAAAGGTATGGCTTTAACTACTGGCACAAAAGTAAACGGCAACTGTGAAAGATGGGAAGATGCATTTCCTAACATCAGGTTAGACTGAAGAATGGGGAAGACTTCGGAGGCTATGAGAAAAGACCATGCATCTTCTAGCTTGTTCACGGAACACGTGTGCATGGATCTCTGCAAGGCCATGTAAGAAGTCTGACACGAGGACTTTGTGTTGTGAGGCTGCCCAAACCACAGAGGCCCCAGTCAGCACTTCTAGTCCGTGAGCATTCCCAGACTCACCAGATGTGAGTGTTGAACAAGTCTTCCGATGATTCCAGCCCCCCAGCTTTCAAAGTACCTCGACCTTCAAGTCTTCCTGGCTGAAGCCTAGACATTATGGAGTAGACAAGTCTTTCCAAACTTTGGGCAAAACAGAACGGTATTTCATTGCCATCTGGCTCGGGGAAAGTTTGTTACACAGCAATATAATTGGAAATATTCTCCAAGAGAATACTTCCTCAAGGGTGTAGGATTGGGTCACTTCCAACTCACAGCTGCCAGTGGCTTCCTACTGTTTATCAAATGAAGAGAAAAGCCTCACCCTGTAGACTGGGTCCTACCTGATTGGGCCTGTCTACCCTAGACCTCTGGTGCACCAGCCTCACAAAGCTTGTTTGATCTTCTGACCCAGTGTGAGGAGGAGATGGGAGTGGAAATGACATGTTGTCTCCTGGCTGAGCAGTGAAGAGCAGGTGTGAGCCTCCCCACATGCCCCAGGAGTCCACAAAAGAGTGGAGCCAAAACAGGGACAGAGCCTGGGTTCCTGAATAACCACGTGGAGCAGAGCACCATCAACAACAAACAAGTGACAGCAACAATGATCATGAGACATTGGACTACAATCCAAGTGAGGAAACCAACCTTTTATTGTGGTAAGCCTCCATGATTTGGAGGTTATCACAGCAGATTGCCCAGTCAAACACAGCAACAGAGACAAGCTTCTGTGTCTGATGATAGCAGTTAAGTTTATGCTCAGGTAACAATACTGTGAGCTGAGGTTAAAAAAGCCAAATGACCACTCATGTAGCTAAGGAGTTGTCTTCCTGTGTCCTGGCAGACAAAGGCAGTCAACCATTCTTAGTGTTTTCAAAT